TGTATACATTTTAACTGCTAGCAAATGTAGGTGCCATTAGCACTGCCATTTACAGACCTGAAGATTGATCAATAAACAGATTGAATTTCAGTATGCAAAGTGTAACCCAGACACCAGCAACAACAACAGAACTTATTTTATCACACAGTTCTTCATGGAGAATGTCTTCTATCTTATCACAAGTCCAACTCTTTTTACTACCTACACTGTTCACATTTGCGTCTGCCTTGTGACTGGCACTTGACAACAATAATCATATGAAATGGCAACACCGTCAACACAAGACAATTTTTAATGGAATTCAACTAGGAGTGGGATAACAGGTATGTAAATATGGTATTAAATATTTTTTTTATGATGAAACCAAATATTCCTTATATTTTATACCTTTAACTTTTATCATATAAGAGTAGGGGATTTAAACTCCAGTACTATCGTGTTGCCAGCTGGAATCTTATTCCTGGGTTAATGGATTAGGTACGCTAGTGCAATGCACGACCAGCTGTATCATGTATAAGCTGCAATTCATGGATGACAGATGTTACAGGGCCAAAGACTAACTGTTTATTTCTATTTCAAACACTGATGCTACGACATATGAAATATCACGTCATGAGGAAGATTTTCCTTGAATCCAGTGTCCTTTGTACATTAATACAAATATCTGACCAGTCTAACAGTTTTCTGTAAATCAAATCTAAAACTTCTTGATGATGGTGAAGAGTCAATTGAATAAAAATTGACTTGGATATTATCCATCGTCTAGTAATAAAACGTAAAAAACGTAAAACGACGTTTCGGAGATGGGGCTCTATCTCCGTCTTCAGGTTCCTACTCAGTTGGGCCCACTAGATAGAGCTAATCCCTATCTCCGGAGTGGGCCCAACTGAGTAGGAACCTGAAGACGGAGATAGAGCCCCATCTCCGAAACGTCGTTTTACGTTTTATTACTAGACGATGGATAATATCCAAGTAAATTTTTATTCAATTGAGTTTTCTGTAAGCTTGTAATTATTCCTAAGAATTTAAATATGGCATCACATATACTCAACCATGTCAGTGATAAAAAGTGACTTGCTCTTTAGGTTTTGGTGTGTCTGAGACTCATGCTGCACCACTGCTAGCACTAAGTTCTCTGCACCAACATATGCCTAACAACTAGCGATGCACTGCACCAGCATTCGACTGTGAGTCAACTCACTCTTTGATCCAGAACATGACTCACTGTTCCATTGTTTTAAACAAAGAGGCCATGATGATATTAACAGACTTATGGTAAGGTTGTGTAGTCAGTACCAGTATCAAATACAATTGGAGAGGAGACACTCGACAAACAATTTATGTACAATACTGGTCCTAAGTTATGCTAAAAATGGTAAAAAATTAGTTGCTTCACCCCAATATTCCAAACATTATGAATCTCAAAATGATAACTTGCATGTAAAATGCATAACAAATGGCCAATGATGTCACTGTATGAACATGGGATCATGCACGAACATGTAAAATTTGCTTGTAACAAAGATCTTTTTTCATATTTTTATGTAGTTAACGATGCACACTTGCTTTCATTTAAAGTTTTGTTTCATAAAAAGAGGAGGAAAAAGAATATGTACAGAGCTCTCCAGGAAAACTATTAAGAATGATAGTGTTGGAGCTGCCTTTATAATATATACAATAATCTTGCAATGTAAACCTTTGGCTTAAGGGCCTGAGGTCACATGCGAGCTACATCCTACCAACAGTCAAACACATTATGCAAGATAATTTGTCAAAATATTAACTCAAGTAATTTGTAAGATATTACTACTACTACTACTACTACTACTACTCTGGCTTATTTTTATCTCATATTTATATATTTATATTATATACATGTTAATATATATACTGGTATGCCCATATGTGATTCACCATGTAGCTGAGTGTTGACTTTACACAGCGGTCTATTGGTTTTTCTAGGGCAAACAATCACAGGCAGAGCTCAGTCACAATACAACTCAACATATGCCCTTTTAAGATAAATAACAAATTACAACAAAATAACTACAATTCTAGAACCAGCTTCCACCACCAAATTTGCTAGTAAGACCACCAATGCCTTTGCCAAACATATTGCCCATCCGTCCGACAACATTATTGGTAACGTTGGTAATCTTGGCCACGTAGTTTCCATCCTCTCCCAGAGTCTCCCTGATTGTCACCTTTGGTTTACTCCTGTCTCCATCATCATCAATTCCTGTTTCAGGGTATCCCCTAAATGTGAAAAAGATGGGTTTAGTTTTGGAACACTATAAATTATATTTATGTTAATTGACATTGCACTTTATAACAGTACATACTCAGAGTCCTCATTGTCACACCGAGTGCTCATGGTAAGTGCACAGGTGGCCTCTTCAGTTTGCATACGTTGTGAGATTGTTTGGTACGTCTTTGAATTAAGTTTATCCTCCATCACTCCTTGCAATTCAAAGTCTGAATAGAGTTTCTGGAATATATAATGTAACAATTGTCGTCAATCAATGATGAATACTTGCATGATGGCAGCACAAAACAGAACTTCTTGACATATACGGTAATACAAAGTTCTCCCACCACAGTTGTATGCATAATCTTCTTCAACAAAACAATAGCAATAGCAACTGGGAAGTAATTATGTTGTGTTACACGCAATATTTTTAAAATAAGATTGGACATTATTTTTGGGAATAACTTTTTATTGAATTTTTTCATGACATTGTTTTGAATTACATGAAAACAAAAAAAAAGGGGGGGGGAGGAGATGAGAAATACACTGCTGATATCCACACAACTACTGCACAGTTATACTGATAGTAACATATCAAAATTATATTCATCAACACATTAAGAGCAGAATGCATTCAGGGAATACTTCCAACAATTCAGCCCTGGATATTTTCTTTCTTGTTTCTCAAATTAATGGAAGAACATAGATTGAACGTGTCTACCATAAAACGTGGGAAATAACTTAACTACCTGACTGACTGTCAGTTTCCCAAGAAGGGCTCTGTTTCATAGAGTTCTTTTATTATGTCCTCTCATAGGTTGAAATATTCTTCTGTATACTTGTTCTTTCACTTATTTATGTGATTTATTTAACAACGGTGTCAACATCTAAGACTATATAGCATTAGATGATGATGATTAATCAGACAGGATGTGTATGGGAAGTCGCAGAATTTCCCTGAAGAGATGAGGAAAACCACAAAACAACCTGTCATGATAGCCAGTCTTTGAGATTTAAACCTGGAACCTGATGAATATGAAGAGATAATGCTAACCACTCTGCTGTTACATTTGTTGCTTTGTTTTGTAACCCTCTCAATAGATTGTCGGTCATTTAGATTTTCATGTCACAAAGTCTAACCAACGGTTATTCTTAAAATGTATTTCTAAGAGCTAACATTCCACTGCTGATAAGAAAGTTCATTTACCTTCACAATATGTGCCAAACATGTACACTGGTACAAGTGTAGTGAGTGGTCCAGCCTCTCTGACAACCAGTTACACAACAGTTGAATCTGAGCTGTATACCACTGCTGCAATAGAGATACCAGTACATCATGAATTCATCTTTTCTTTCCTCACTCTACATAATATCATGTTAAAAAGTATGACACTTACTTCAAAGAAATTTAAAATCCACAGCTCATCATTGACCTTACTACGAATCTGATCCATGCAGTTACGAGTAAAGTTGACATAAGCTTGTCCCATATCTTTGCCAGACCCAGACACATTCTGAAACAGCATAACATCATTCATATATAATACAAATTTAACCAAGTATTACTAAAGTCTTTTAATCACTGACATTAACAACATTACTTTTATGTTTAGATCACAGGATCTCATCATTTGAAATTAATTACTAAAGTCTTTTAATCACTGGCATTAACATTACTTTTATGTTCAGATCACAGGATCTCATCATTTGAAATTGGACCACATTATTCTTTCTTATTGACTCACAAGTCACCATATATAAATCAGGATAACTTATTTAACATTCATAGAAACTTACTACAAATGATACTTATTTACTCTTGCAAGCAGGTTGACATACTAATCAACAAGTTTCTTTAAAAACATCTGTAATGAATTGAGGTTAAATTTCTGTCATGATTTGCATGCATCAGTAACATGCACTAGTTCCTCAATAAGCTAAACAGTTGCTCATATGAAAAGAATGCTTACTGTCAAATACTGACAAAAATAAAATGTGTTTTCTGATATCTGGTAATTATTTTCTATCATGTAGGATAACAGAGTATTACAAAAATGTAAGTGGGCCACATGAAACACAATGGGCAGCTGCAGGATGATGCACTCTGCACCAAACTTGACAGTGTCTTCTTACACCATACCAAAGGAATTTCTAGTATTCACTTAATACCTAACTCAACTCTACAAGTGACATAGTACCCCAACCATAACATTTTAAAAGATCTCCAGTCCCTCCAGAGGTATGGTCTTGTTAGCTTTAAACCCCAAAAATTCTGATAGCATCAGATCTAGGTATTTAATATCGGGCATAATTTAGTTTCTATGAGGTTTCAACATCTTCACAAAGTTTCTTCTCTTCAATTTTGTTTATTTAATGTGAATGTGCCATATAAAATTGTACCAGTCCCACATTGTTTAAAAAATATGGCTTTATAAGATGAAGCAAGTTCTGGGCAGAACTTATAAAGCCTACTTTCCTCTTGCACAAACTTTCATACTTAATAATCTAATGCTGTTAATTTTGTGTTCAGTTAATGTACGTTTATTATCCATCAATATAATGAAATCAGATCATGGCTGTCCATGTTACACTTTTGGGAAGTGTCCGCTACACATGGACTTCTACATACATTTTGGAGGTATATATTGCCTCCATCATGAAGTGTTTTTCAGTATGGCGTAAGCAATTGAAACGTCCGTTCAATTGTGAGAAACTATATACTTAAAAACCAATGACCATTTAAAGGTTAGAGAAAAGATGTTTATATCCTATACAGTTATGTAAAATAGTTGTCTCTGTAGCAAATCCAATCCAAGAAGTAAACGGCATACAGGGAAAAACTTCAGTACCTAAACCTTTATGGAATATACATACAGTATTGGAAAAAGTTTTGAACTACAAGCTACATGAATATGTGGAAATCTTGAATGGAGATATATTATTTGGCATAAAATACTTAAATTTTATGAAAATTGTCTTGAGGCACTAAATATCATACACAAGAAAACATTACCACTGTGCAGACAATATCTTCATAGAAGGAGGAGATTCTTTGTGATAGATTGCATACCGTGAAACTAAGGATGGACCCGATCAAACTTCCTTCATCGTATCTCGATAACTTGGACAGTGTTGTCTCCAAGACTGACATCAGCTTGCTGATCATACCCTGGGTCATGCTGGCAGATGTCTTCTCAATCATGTCATCAATCTTGGTATGGTATTGATGCTAGAAAACATTAAATATGCCACAGCAATGACCATTTTACATATATTTCTGTCTCATTTCAGGAATAAAATAGGCATTTCTTTCCCCATGCCCAAAATTTACTCATACCCTGCTCATCATCACTGCGAAGGTATTCAGCAGTTAATTATCTATGTTAAATGTTAAAAGTTATATTTTTTTTTGGGCAAGACATGTCATGAACACTAATTTTAAGGTCAAACTATTCATTAGTACTTGCTGTAACAAGTTTAATGCAGTTTATATTGATGCAAATTACAATGATTATTAGATTTCCATGCATAACTGCATTTGAATATAATAACATTTTCCATAAAATAATATTTGAGCTGTAAAAACTTCCAAAGACGGTTATCAGTCTTCAGTTAGGAATGTGCAAACACACCAATTTAAGCTCAGACTTTGCCACAATGTATTAAATTGTGAACTTCAAATTTTTCACTTACTGTAGTCCTATAACAGAAAGGTATATTCCATCTTATTGCCAGTGAAGAGATCTAGAACATTATCAGCAAGGCTTTTACAAAGAGTGGTGGCTATTGCTTTAAAAGTGACTAATGCCTGACATACAAAGTTTCCTTCATTGAACTGTACACATTTCTGCGGGAACAATTATTTTGAATTGGCAAATGCTGAAGCATTTTTTAGCATCAATTTTTATCAAGTAAAATGGCAGCCCTGTTTATATAATATGGTTCTGAAGCGTTATCTTGTGCTTGGGCATTATTAAGAAGTCCTAATATAACATTTTTCCATATATAAATATAGTATGAAAACAAATTTAAAATCTAAATTTTGGGTGTCTTATAAAGTGGTAATCAGAATTGTAGAATACAAAACAATGCACACTTATGGCTTTTAAATGATCAGCAGGTCTTAATATTAAATGTTAATCAAAATCTTACCGACTCATGATGATATAAACATTACATCTGATGCAAAGGAAATGTCATCACAAACCTTCAGGCAAGTTAAATTTTAAGTTTAAGTTCCTCTTTTATTTAAAAAATGTGTTGACAACAGTGAATGACCATGCCAGGTGAAATGACTTTAAATCCATTAACCAACCAACTTGAATAAAATCTCTAAACATATATTTAGGTACATACAGATGACTCTTGTTACACGTGCTTTCGATATCGACAGTATCGCTTATCCGCAGTTTTATTTCAATATTATGAGGACATCAGTATCCTGTCAGCTGCCAAATTTCAAAGCCTTAATCGAACTTTGTCCATGTAACTGACATTTCTTTGGATTACATTTTCAGTAACCCATAATATTTCATATACCTGATACGTCAAAATCTTTTATATTTGAATTTCTGTAACTGTTTATGTGGATTAAAAGGCATGGTAATGCATTCTACAATTCATGAACTAACAACACAAAACACTCTGAATTTTACTAAAATATATGTAATTATTACTTCCTCATGCCAATTTGACTAAACATATTTTTCATGTGTTTTAAAATAAATTTTTTCTATTACCACATCCACTCCATCCACTGCACACAGTTTGAATGACTGATTCTTGGCATCCAATATCACATTCACCATGGCACACATTTCAGAAGGAATAATGTAGTCAGTGGAGATGAAGGTGACACCTTTCTTCAACCATTGTTGGAAAGCATTGTCAGTTCTGAAGGATAAGAAATATTTCAATTTGTTATTAAGTCTCCACACAAGAAATAAAGCAGTTTTATAAAAAAACCTGTATTATTGTCAATTGTGGTTTTCTGGGCCTTATCCTGTGTTGCCTTTTAGGTTGTTACCAGCATTTCAGGAAAACGTATCTCCTTCATTTTCAGGGCAGTACATTTGTCTGAAACTTTGGTAATCACCTCTAAAACCAATTGATATTAGAAGCCAGAAGACCAAATCTGTCATCTTTATCATGTGAATCTAAAACCTCATATATGTATTCTTACATTCACAAAATTAAGTGTTGCACGTTCCAATAATATTAACCCCTTTAGTACAAAGGCTATTTGGATATACTGTAACATTGTTAGTGTATGTAGACTTTTGGCACAAAAATGTCAATGTGAACAACAAAAAGAAAATTATATTGTCAAAAATGTTCTCGTCATGGTGCGTGCAAGGAACAGTAAGTACCTTTGAATACATGAGTCTATCATATCACACGCCATCAATTTGAGACGTTGTTCCAAATGTTGCCGAAACTCAGCATCAGGCCAGTGAAGATCACGAATGAAAGATTGCAATGCATCCAGTTTCCAGAAGAGGTCTTCTGAAGTGGCACAGCCATTCCTGTAATCAGTAGAAGTAATGTACATAAATATAACATTCATTTTCATTGTCATGATAAGGTGAGAGTATGCATCTGTGGAACTGCAGTTGCCAACAGTCCCATTGTCCAACTCCCAGATGATACAAGAGTGAATGTGGACCAGTGATGGTATGATACTGACAGGGAAAAAAAAAGTACCCAGAAAAAAAACCCTGTCTCTATAATAGTTTGTCCACCACAAATTCTGCATGGATTGCCATGGTAGGCAAAGTTTTTTTACTCATTTAAACCACATAATAAACAGTAGGATTTGAGCTTTTCATGGCAGTCAGTCTGAAGATAACCGTCTTCTGGGTTGTAGTGCTGTGTAGCCTGGTAGAACTTTACCAATGTTTCAGAGGTCCTTGCAGCCTCCATCATCAGGGTGATGAGTAAGCCATGCCTATGGAATAAGTCTGAGATATAATATTGCCAGTCCTTACCAGGCCACTAGAACCGTTCCTTTGTTCTTTTCAGGACACAACCCAGTCCCGGCCAGTTCTTATTTTCACTATCCTTGTTCCCCCTCATCATGTCCACCCACCTCCCTTATGACTGGTGATCCACCTGCCAGACCCCAAGGAGACCTTATAAAGGCTGCTTTCTCCCCCTCCTGCTGACCAGGCTCACTCCTATTGGTTCCCAGGCGCTCACCTGATTCTGACTCCACTCCCCACTGGTCAGCAGTAAATTTCTGTTCCAGCTAAATACCTTTTACTGCCAGCTCCTTACCAAACATTTGTAAATGCATGTTTTGAAGCATTAACAACCACATTAAAGACTCAAAAAGCACATAGCATATCACAAATACTGTAGCTAGAACAGTTTTTATGACCTGGTAGATGAATACACTAATAATGCCATGAAATATCTTGGGCACATGCATGCGCACACATATCTGGACACATGTATGCACACACTTCACCTCTCTCTTGAAAACCAAATGCTGTAACTATGCTACATACTAGTTAATACTTACCCTTTGATTTCCCATCTCTCCTTCTCAAAACCTTTATGGATGGATTGTGCAATGGAAGACTCCATCAGATCAACGTAGCGTACTACTAATGGTGCAAATGTGTCACGTAGGTGCTGATGGAACCGTCCATTCTTCAGGTTGTCTATCACAGAAGTTAATATTTTTATTAGTGTCTAAGTTCAATTCAATGAGGTTCAGACACATAACCTCTTTAATTAGCCAAGTATCCAACAATTTTATAATTCATGGTAAGCTATATTTTAATTCTTCTTCATGCAGTTAACTTTGTATGAATCTTTATTAAATGTTTCTAAACTTGCAGTGAATATATTGGGAATTTTTTGATTTGTACAAAGAGACAAACCATTCACGTATGTTCAAGTGTTTAGCATCAGATGCTAATGAATGGTAGAACACCATACAGTTAGTGCGTTAGACTAAGCACAAAGTTATATTTAGGGATAATTACAAATGGGTTGTGTCCCTCATACTTCGTAGGATGCTGTCACATTAACTGTTTTGTGCACTTCTGTCACTTCACGATATCTTAAAGTGTAGCCAATGACAGCCCATCTTCAGTTCATAGATTTGATACTGCACTGTCTGTAATGGCCTCAAAATTATAAGACAAAATAACTAGTATGCAGAGTAACACTTTTGTAATTATTTCTTACCATCTGTTCTAAGATAATCATTCATAATTTGAAACAATGGAAAGGAATCCCATGTATCAGGTGGTTGTTCAGCCAGTACTTGGTCCATATCAACGGCAAACAGTGACCAGAAGATCTCGGCATGCTCCACAAGAAGGTCACTGAACCACGCGAATGCCTGCATTCAGATATTTAAATGTTGCACATGAACTGAAACTTAAGAATGGTTATCCATTATGTGTTTTATAGAAACATGCAAACTTTCATATAGTTACATGAAGGTTTTGCATTGAGGCATAAAATTACTAGAACTATAAATATATGAACATTGATTATGATAAAATCTCTTATCACAGACAGCATAAACAGTTTTAATATACAACAGAACATCAAACAGAGCTAAATGCTGACTAGTCTGCAAACTCCCATAATGAACTTCATATTCAATTTTTTAATGAATGAAAAGTTTCCATGGCATACAAGAAGTATTATATCTGGCAGGTTCCTCACCTGTGGCACCTCATTCTTATGCCGAAAATCATATTTATTTGCTTTGCATGGAAACAGTGCAGTGGCGTGGCAGAAACTGCTAGAATGCAAATTTTAGCAGCTCTGGAATGTAACTTACAATAACCAAATATTCAGTGATAATATTCCTTCACTGTTCATCTCTGGTTTAAGATGACAGTAGTGTTAAAACATTCAGTAAGCAATTAAATCAACCAAATTATAATTTATCAGTACTTGGGGTTTCTGTAAACCTGTATGTCTGAGAGAGTACAAAAACAGGACTTGCTATATATAGAAAACTTGATTTTAATACATTTTCATATGGTCCTGTACACTGGAAAGTTTTACCAGTCTGACAAAGTTTTGGGAATCTTGGAGACTTGCTACAGTTTCCAAAGTATTCCTATTTAATAAAAATCTTGTCACCGTGAAGCAGAATTATGCTACATTTACCATAAAGCAGATGCCACTTTTTGTATCTCAGGAATGTTCATATTCTGGTTCCCTTTAGCGATTTTAGAGAGCTCAAATAAGTAGCAGTACCAACTGTAACACTTCCATTAACATTCCTTTATTTGTGTAAATTTGGTATCATAATTTTTTTAACATGTGGTCATCCTACATTAAAAGATGTTTTAAGTATTCACTATAATCCTCAATGGTGAATATCACACTCTGCACTCAAAGCCCCTTAACTTCACAGTGGTTCTCAAGGTTACCATATTAGCTGTCTTTTGCAATGTTATAATTGAAACATAAACATGTATCTTCAAAGCAATTCCACATTCTACACTCAATGCCCTTATTAAAATTTAGTGTCACAGCAAATATCATTGGCTCTAGAGACTTGTGCAAATTAAACCAAACTGTTTCATCCCTAAGCTTTCTCAATATTTCACAACAAATTTCAATGCATGCTTAAAAATTTGGCACTAGCAACATACCTTGACTGTTATAATCTGTTCCTCAAGACTGAACAGTATAAAATAAGACAAATTCTTGTTCATTAAATGTTAAATGTTCATCCATTTGAACACTATATATCATGCTCCCTGAGATATACATTACAGAAAAAAGAATGATTATAGTAAGAATACTTGTTTTTGAGAGAAGCAAAGAAAAGTAAGTAGGGTATGAGGTTCTCATCGCAATGAGAACAAAGATGGCTGACCTCTGAGATGCTGGTAAACTTCTACCAGACTTCATGATGTTACATCCCAGAAGACAGCCATCTTCAAAAGAATAGTAACCTCACTGCTGTTGGCAGCTACCAACATAAAAAACTTGAGATAGGAGCAGAGGAGGAGGAATTCGTGATGGTTTGAACAAAAAAATTAAGAAAAAGCAATGACAACAACAAGAAAGTTTGTTGATGTAAAAAACAGGGAAAAAAACTATGTTCAATATAACGATATTATCTGAACCATTATTTCTTTTTTTAAACAGAAATATTTCAGAAATTCATCAAAGATGGCCTTAATATTCTAAAGATTTCTATTTAGGCTAGGCCCTCCCACCCAGCCATCCATAAAAGTTGTTTTAACAGTCCTATCATTACCTGTGATGAACTTCTCTCAGAAAGAGGTGATTATTGTCCTTGGCTGTCTATGACACATTGTTTAAGATATACTCATTGCTACATCTGTACACAAGAAACAACCAAGGAATGGCTACACATATTTTCACGAAATTTGATACCAGGGAGTATTACAAAGATTTATCCATATACTTTAATTTTGGTCAAAATCAGGCAACAATGCTGGGCACATAACATTTCTTTAAGAAGATACTCTGCAGTTACAATTTAATATCTGAGCTTGACAGATTGTTTAATTATGCATACTCTTAAGTGGAAATGCCAATGTCACATGAGAACCACTGATATGTGCCTGCCAAGGTATTCTGTGTTATGTGAGCATCAATGTCTATGAGAGTAATATGTATGTCTGTGTATGTGTAAGCTAAGACATGCAGAGAGGTAAAGTGTATGTGCTGAATGAAAGGTACATTACTTACTTTGTCCTGCTCAAAAATAAAAGAGAAGAGAAAGAAGATGTTTAGAGAGTTTGAACACACAATGGGACACAACATGAAATGCACTTTACAAAATACAAGGCATTAAAAATAGACATAAAAAGCACAACAATAAATGCAGGAGCACACAAACATACTGTATACATAGGAGTAGACTGTGCAATTTTTTAGCTTGGTTCATTTGGGACAATCTTAAGATACAGCAGCATAAAAATGTACAAATAGAAAAATCCACAAATGCTGACTGCATTAATTCTTATATTTTTATGAACAATAGTATTACTTATTACTAAACTGAGGACTACATTGTTTTCACAAAGACAAATGTTCAATATGAAAAAGCACATTCTGAATTCTACAATATAAAAACCAAGATAACTTCTAGAAATATTTTAAGACTATTTCTGGACATGTACTTTTAAAGATACCCCATTTTAAACAAGAAAGAAATACATTCCATTAAATGAAACTGCTACTTTTATTAAGCAGAAAAAGGTAAGATTTGTTGCTAATAATACTACTTATAAAACTGATGGAGAACATTATACAAAAGTAAATGCATAATTTGCACAGTTCTACATAATTTTCTTAAATTTTGGATTGATTTTTACAGCACACATTTCAATATTATGATTGTAAACTATTTAGTTTTATTATATTTTAAAATTCCATCAGAGGTCAATAAATGATTACATAATTGTTTCATTAAAACATGTTCAGCACTTCAGTCAGTATACCTTAAATTCCAAAATATATGAAGAAAAAATAAACGAAAATAAACAGGCATAAAGGGTTATGGAAGTCTCCAAACCAAAACTCCACAACTCATATTCAGTACACTTCCTATTGGTCTGTCAATCTTCCATTCTACACTGAAGCTTCCTCCTAATTAGATGGCAGATGTCTAGCCAAAATAAAGAAGTACAACACCAGGAATTTCCAGTTACGTGTATTATAAATTATTATTTCAGTGAAAAATCCTAAGAGAAAACTTACCTATTTTTCAACTGATAGTAGCTAAGCTACTCCTGTAGCTTATGGAACTGCCATTCATTCATATTCCTAGCTTAATTAGTTATAGAATGTAATATATATATATTTCAGACTAAATAATATGTTGTTAGCTTTTTGGAAATACTCGTAACTAATCATAAACCTCAGTAATCCATTCCTTGTTCTTTTGGATCAGTTAATTCCTCAAATATTGAAAGAGAAGTTTGATAAGATTACTGAAGAGCTGGCATGAAACCACAATAGGCAACTAATACATGATAGGATAATGATGACAACTGAAAGTACTACCAGAACTGGGATAGAAATGTTGATGTAAAGAAATGCATGGATAAAAGAGAGCATCTGTCAATTTTTGTGGAAATTTTTACCATATGGTATTGTGTGATTAAGTTAGGTTATGTTTCATGAGGGTAGGTCAGGTTGCTATCCAGCTGCACATATAGCAAAGATTATAAATCAGTACAATACAAAGAAAGAGCAAGAAAATTAATAACAAAAGCATAATATTCTGCTCATAAATTCATAATTTTTATAAATATGTCTCATGGAAGAACAGAAAATAATAGAATACATTCCATCCAACACTCACCAATCTGTAAGCCTTTGATCACAGAGCCAACATGTAGAGAGGATAGAAGAGAGACCAGACTCACAATTAGTAACAACAAGGAAATATAGAGAAGGATCTGACTGGTGTCCTACTAGAACTTACATGATAAAGAAACAATAAATAATTAATTGCTTTTAATACCCATTAAACACAGGAATGGCTGTTAACAATGCAATCAGTTCAAGCTGTGGTATTCCTACAACTTCTTGAAGGTTTGCATTTGTATTAATGTCACCTTATATCTACATATACAGGTTTAAAAGTTTCATGATTTGACAAGTCTAAAATGCACTACAATAAATTCATATTAAATATTCACCTCACAGTATTGAATACCTATAAAAAAAATACACTCAAACTAAAGAAAATTTCAATTTAAATCTTGCTCAGAATATTTGTTTAAAATCATTTATGCCATGTTTATAAGAAATTCTGCAACGATTTCACTTTTATTTCTTAATATCTGAAACTCTGTACACGTTTTGAAACATTCACATTCTTCCTGCTTGTAGAGTTCTAATATCAGTAATAATATTTAACACAATGCCACAGCTTTCACTACTCACATGGTGCAAATACAACAATGGATGAATCCCACAACACCCAAGCATGCTGGTTCTCAGTGCTACACGAGCAAAAGCCACAGCTATCCGAACCCATCCTAGCAGGCATGATGTTATGTATGAGTATTGCGACGTTAACTTTTAGTACAACCATCATGGTGTCTATGTGGACAACTATACCACTGCTATATTTTGTTTAAAAAACTGTGTATAAGCACACTACATTTTACAACAATGAAGTGTATAGAAATGTATATACAAACTTAATTTCTTAAGATGTTTATAATTATGAGAACAAAAAATTAGTTCTATCTTATGATGAGTAATACATCATCTGAGCAAACTTGATGGCATACAAAATGGAGAAAACACTGACACTCAAGTATGTCGGATAACTGAGACTCTGCAACTCTATCATATGTTTCTTCAGATCTATGAACCAATCCTAGAATGTGTAGCTGTTTTCAGCTAACCAACAAAGGTCAAATGGAGCATGTCTTGCAAAAAATAAAATATTACATTTTGTGTGCATAAATTTCTCTGATAGTTGTTCAAGAGTTGTAACTGTCCATGCAGAGAGCAGCAAAGTCTTTGTATCTATTTCCTGTAAGATGCACAATTCAATGCTGGACACACAAGCCACAGTTATGAAAACACAAAAATCAAAAGAAAAAATCAACACTATAAAAATACGGCCAAGACAACACTGAAAACAGACACAGCAACAGATATAATAATTTCCAGATTTCTGGGATTGTCAAAACATGCTCCACAAGCCATGTATTGTGTATCTGGTACTTATGTGTGTCTGTTTTAGGTTATAACAGAATATGAGCTGGCAACATAAAACTACACACAGAAAAAAATAATTGATGAATTCTATATGTAGGAAGTTCACACACTTGAATAGATACTAATCATGTAAATACTGTCAAATTATATATCACGTAAGACCTTACAATTAAAGTATTACTCTATATTCAGACATTTGATCATAGTATATGTAGACTGAGAGTAACTATTATAAACTTTACTAACCAGTTAGGTATGTGTATGTGTCCTACCTCTGCGTAGTGTTCTTCATTCTGCTGAAGAAGATCAACACACAGCTCTGCTAAATGGATGAGGTCTTCCAGTTTCTTATTAGGGGCAACCATCACCTCGCCACTCAAGTCATCTGCCAAACATGTACACATTCAATACATTCGTGTTACTCAACATTTTTAGCATTAAATTTATTATAGAATTACAATTGAACCTGTTATCATGGTCATCTAAATGCTATTAGTAAATTACCCAAGTTATTTACTTCAAGAAGGAATAAGTACCATTAAGATTGACTTCCAATTATTTATATATATATATATATAGAGCAGAAGTGAAGTTGAGGAAATAATAGTTTTCCAGTATGAAGTTGTATGCCTTCTGGAATGTTGTGCCTTGTAGAAGTTTACCCCAATGTTTCAGAGGTGCTTGCTGTCTCCATCATCAGGCTGATGGCTCATTTCCCTGATTATGACGGCAGATAGCACCTCTGAAATGTTGGTAAACTTATACAAGACTACATGGCACAACACCCCAGAAGACAGTCATCTTCATGCTCACCACAATATTCCAGTTTAGTTGAGAATATTGCATTACAAAAATTATTTATCCTCACACGATGACAAAGAAAAAACAAGCTTACCCAATATCATACATGACTTCAGTTTTGTAATTATGCAAAATACACAATCAACAAAATAATGAATTTGTACATTAGCAAAATTCAATCTCTACTTTCTGCATAATGTTGAGTATACTCTGGAGACTAACATGTGTTATTCTGATAATGTGGAAGGTGACTGGAGTGAGAACTAAGCATATCAGATACAGGATGCTATTCTTTAGCTACAGCTGGGGAGAGGATTCATGCTCTTAAGTCTCACTTTTAGACTGTAATTAAATTATAAAAAAAAGCCTAGTGGGCAGTATGAGAGCAGTGAAGATACTTGCATACATCACATTTCTTATTGTGTTTGCCTGTGTCTTGTAGGATTTGCAACTTTCACTTGTGTGTGTAAAATTATTTACAATTTTCTGTATTGTGGTCCAGCATAATGAAACAAAACACTGTCTAGAACAGATGGAAACTGTAAAAATTATTTCAAAACCAGGCAATCTTCCTGGTTCTTCCTGTTCTCGTGGGCAATTCCTTGACGATCAAAGGTATTGGTTGCAAAATAATTTTGTGTTCAATAACTGAAACACATTTAATCATGTTTATGTTATAAAATATTGTAAATGCGTCATATTGTGATTCATAAGTATTAAAATATATTAAAAATTTTTGCCGTCAATCACAAATATAATAATGTTAAAAGATTAAAACATCATTTGATGTTTTAATCTTTTAACATTATTATATTTGTGATTGACGGCAAAAATTTTTAATATATTTTAATACTTATAATCACAATATGACGCATTTACAATATCTTATATAGTATACTGATTGTTAAAAGCACTGAGGAAAGAAACACTGTATTTCATCAAGACTACTGAAAACACTTATATTTCGAAAGAAAAAAAAGAACAGTTACGTGGTATGAATTGCGGCTTCCAGTACGACTCAACAAAATGTTAAGCACTCAACGGAAACGTCCAGTCTCCGTGAGTGAAAACAGCGAAAAAAGCCACAATGTGATTATTCTGTTGTAGCAAAATATACATTCATTCTTCATCATCCTTATGATTGAGGAAGCAAGCACCTCTGAAACGTCGGTAAACGACCACCAAACTATATACTTCACAACCCAGAAGGCAGATGTTTATGTTATTTACATAATTTTGTTACATTTATTTTTCTTATTTTTTATTAGTCTGTCTCTTTGTTTCATGCTGCTAGCAGCTGAATTGTACCTTGTCACATACATAGTTCTGTCTTTTCGTTTTTATGGTTTTATGGACTTTTATATCACCACGTACAGTCCATAGCATCATAACCCAGACAACCATAATCCAAATTTTCACAAATGTGAAAACGTGTGTCACATAATTCTTTGTAGTGATGTTCATCTACGTAAATTTAACATTATTTCTTTCCTTCTGCTTGTTTATGTCACAAACACTGCTTATCTTGTTATCCATGGAACAATATAGGATGATGTATTGTGTGGGATGAGCTACTGACAATGAAAATTGTTATTTGGTTAAGACAGGATCAAAACCTCTCATTATCTTGAAGTGGTCAAGGTAACATAATATATATTTTCTGTATTAACATTTTCATTAAACTGGATTTTGTAGTAAATATATTAATTGCAACATATTTACATGTGGAAGTATTTGGGAGACAAAGTTTTGGCTGATTTAACATTTTACTACAGTTGATATCTCTACCGATATTATTACACACCACAAAATCTTCATACTACAAAATTAACTATTCTTTGTTGTGAGAGGATCTATTGTTTGACTTTAATTTCACCTCAATGCTATAAATTCATACAAAAGTGCAACAAAGATGAAGTAATTCCCACATAAAATATATACACTACAAACTATGATCAAGTCATGCACAGAAATGATTATTTGATGGAGAAGATGTACTTACAAATACAGTAATTTTTAAACTAGTTTGATATAAAATAATAAAATAAACAAACTCTTGAAGTATGATTTTGCTTGAACGCCATATACCATGGAACTTACATTAAGATTTAGCTGGTAATGTGCAAGCATTCATGAAATACAATGGGATCCATGCCTCAAACAAATCAATATATAAGAAAATTCACACTTGTTGATGTTATGATGACAGATAAATTATGTTTCACGTAAGTGTATTAAAATTACTATACTTTGAAATAGTAACTACTATTTATTGTACATGTGCAAGCATGCAAGAAACCAAGACACTCAACATTTGTGGGAAGTTTCGTACCTTGAACTGTTCCTTCACCACCTTCGCTCAGACCAGTGGAAAAAAGAAATTACTTTGAACTAGGCAGTCCATTGATACTGCACAATTCAAAATGCCATGTGAATTGACTGATGAATTTTTAGTTGCCAGAAATATATTGCCTAATAAAATCTACACTGAGAGATGTGGTCTCACAGACAGAAAAAAGGTATATTAACATTTTTAAAATAAAGTTAAAACAACATACTGGCTGATATAAGTCATAAATTTTGGTTTAACTGCTATAAAAATCATTCATTCTTTATAAGCTTTATTGAAAAAATAAATTTCACTACAAAAAAAATGTGAGGCTGTTACATGAATGACTGAAACTAACCTGAATGCACTTCATATTATAACTGTGGAGTATGATAATAGAAATATGGTGCTGATATACATGTCTTCATGGTGTAATTGTAATTCTCAGTTTTAATGTTATGCAATTTAATCATACATAACCTATAGAACTCTGGTTCCAGCAGCAGCTGTCATGTTCACGTACTTAGTAAGTGCAGTCTGCCACCCTTCTGTTTAGTTCTTTACATGTTCAACTTCATTTTCTAGACTGCTTATAACCAGAACCCAAATATACAGCTGTCCTCTCAAATGCAAATCACTAGGTTTGTGTACCTTTGTATTTGAGGATTTTGGGAGGATGAAAACAACTACTTGATAGTATATATAAATGACCTAAACCTTTCATGGTGATTAAGTATAATGAATTCTTCTCAGACTGCCAGCCATATCAGGTGGTTGAAAGGTAAAAACACCAACGTTTCAAGAACCATCTTTGTCCTTGTCCTCAGCATACTGAAATTAGTACCATGAGGACGATGAAGAAGATGATTCTCAAAACGCTGGTTTCCTCAACTATCAACCACCTGACATGGCTGGTAGCCCAAGAAGAATACATTATACCTGATAATATAAAATACTTTTTTAAAAATTATATTTATATTTGGTTGAACTTTCTTTTTCTAAACTGTGACTGATCAGAACTTAAAAGTTTCAGATTTTTCCATGTGGCTGTTCAGATGTAAGATCACTTGCCATTATTTTATAATGCATGATCAATGACAAAGAACATAAATAATGTCCAATAATTTGCACTCCTATTGGCTGAAATACCTATTTCATAGGAATCTGCACATAAGTAACTACGAGCTCAAAGCAAATTACCTTCAATCTTGGCTTCAGCAGACAGACGGGTGTAGTTCACAAGTGCTGCTGTTTCAAGACATTTCTTGATCATGCTTCTTACTTCTTCAGGGGGAACTGGAGTTACTACATCCTTCATGAGTACCTGCCAACATCACACTTGAATATTACAAGAACAGACATTAAATATGAACTGTTTCTTTACTACTTCAGTAACTTGCACTCCAAGACATAATTATTCTTAATATGACCATCACCAGAGCACGGAAAGTGAGATGGCCGCAAAAGGCTACAAACTTTAGAGTGCTCTGTGCACTGACATTACAATGTACTGAAGTGAATATTTCCACACTTTTTTAGGGAACTGGTCAAAACATATGGCCATAGAGATCAGGAGTACTTCTTGTATCTAGTATGAATTTGGAGCAAGAACATATTGTGAGGATGAGTTGTTTCATCAATGCTTGCAGTTATTTTCCTATGTGTATCTGCCATGCATCCAATTTAGAACTTAAAAGGAACAATTCCAAATTAACTAGTATTGGCAACAGGTATGATGGTTCTCCACACTGTTTGAATTTTCATTTGCTGTTGCTGTTCATTTATGTAAAACAAGTTATTGTAATTTTGGATCACTGTTTTACTGTGACTGAATGTGAGTGCAGAAAAAGGGGAATAAATGTACATGAGAATAATAGCAGTTTACTATTCATACAGTTTCATCATATTCTATCATTTCTAACACACACTCCACAAGAATGCCAGGATAATACTATAATGTGGGAAACAAATTCCAATGATGCTTTTAAAGCTATTATTAAATGCTGAAATTCAAACTTTACAAAATAAATAAACACTGGCACAATAAATCTGGTTTTCACTACAAGCACCCTTTCCTCTTTACTTCTGCATCACAGTAGCATACTACTAAACCATTATAATCTCAGTTAAAGCCCAGTTGTTAACCCTATAATTTGGATATTCAGGTATTTAAAGCCCCTATACCACACAAAGTTGAGTATGATGTGTATTTAATGCCATATGACTTCCAAGATATGAACAAGTTTTTAGAAAATACTCCACAATTTTTTTGAAGCTTTTAATATGCGTTACTCAACTTGCTTGAAGGGTTTAAACAGCCATCACAAAACATCTAGTAAATTAATGTTAGAACTCAAATTACAGATAAACATGCTATTTCTCACCCTTTCTAATAAGGATAATGTTGCTTTCAAAGCACCTTCAGGTCTTCCAAATGGAAAGCAGTACCTAGGAAAATGAACATGTTATTCACATGATCACAAACATAATTGAACCTGTATAATCAGTAATCAATGCACATTAAACACATTTTAAAATGAAAACAGTAAATTGAAGCTGCCCTGCTATATGCCATGGAAATACATGGGGGGGGGGGGGGGGGGGGAAGAGGTATAGCTCCTACTCATTCTTGACCTCAGCATTAGATGGGGGTGAGTAATCAGCACCATGCATGCCCTGGCTGTACTTCACCCCTGGAACCAACAACATAGGTTCCACAGCCAGTCTGGATGAAAAATCCTTTGCCTTGCTGCGAATCAAGTACCAGTTGTCCAGTCCATAATCAGAATTTATAACGATTGAGCTACCCCAACTCATGGAAAACAATAAACCAGAGATTCAGAATCAAAATGGGAAAGGGTTGTCATCACAAATAAACGTAAATTATATGCAACTTAACACAAACCAGTGGAGTTCATAACAATATGAATTACAAAATATAATATACCCAATTGAATATAAGAAGTGATACATATAATATACTGAGTAACAGTTAAAGTAGCTTTTTTTAGCCCACGTTAAAACTCAAAGTATTTGTTACAAAAATGTGGAGTCCCTAATTTCTACATGTTTCCTACAGTAACACATAAATGTAAAATGTTCTTGACTTCAACACTTTAATATGAGGTAAAATTTAAAAAAAAGTTTCCTTATTTGTAAAAAATCATATAGTTAATTCAGAGACAGATCCTTTTCTTGGTAACATCACATACAATTCAACATAAGAGACAAAGAATTATCTGCAGTAATGGAAGGGAGAAGTGGCACAAATAATACTAAAAATCCTACTATATCACGTGCTCTTGAGCTATTAATAATATACATTCTTATTGATATTCTTCCTCAGTCTACATAATAGGGAATTAGTGTAAAAGTAAAGTTTGTCCCACTA